TCGGGGGCGCGGCGCTGGAGTAAATTGCAAGAAATTCCAACGCAAGGGCGCTTTTCTTCAGTAAATTGCAAGCAAGTCTCCAGCGAGAGCGCGACTCCAGAGCGCAGGAGGAACGATTCCTGAATACATCGTAAGGAAGTCCCAAGCGAGAGCGCGATTCTTGAATCAAATGCGAGGAAGTCTCGGGCGGGAGCGGGGGTCCTGGCTAAATTGTGAAGGAGTCTCAGGCGGGAGCCGTTGTCGTTGTAATCCGGGGGCCAGGGGGCCAGTTTGACCAGGAAGACTTTCCTTGACAAAAAACGAGATGCGAACCCCGGGGGGGCACTTCATTTGAAAAAATCAATGTGCACCGGTGGGGGGGATCAACAATGATTATTCTTCAAGAGTGAGAGTTCCACAACAACAACAGCAACAACAATGATCTCACGCCCATCTGTTCTAGGAGGCCGAGTGAGGTTTCATGCGCGTTTCCCTCTCCCTCGCACCCGCCCTCTATGTCCATGAACGCACCCCTTTTTCTGGGGGGGGGGGTATTCCAGCTCCGGGGCCGAACCCAAAGGGGAGGGATGTTTTGCTGACAGCCCTGGGCCGCGAGGAAAGTCAAGAGAGAGCCATGAGGATAATGCGTGCATTTTCATAGCTGCGCCGCGGACGCCCATTTGCCAATCGCAGCGCCCCACTCGGCCGCTCCTAAGCCAGCACGGAGTGCATCACCTAGATCAGAAGCGGGGGCAAGCTCTGGCGTGGAGGGGCGTTCCTCGGGGGTCGGGCAATCGACCAGGAGCCCCGTGCAGTTTCCGGGCGACTCCCCCTCCACGCTGGGCGCGCCGCCCCCCCCCTCGGCAGCGCCGTCGCCATCCTCAGAGGAACTGCGCCATCCCGAAGCGGCAGCGCCAGGCCACGGCACTGGCAGCGCCGACGTCTCGTCCGGTGGAACGGACTCCTGCCCGGACTCCGCGCTCGCGCGCTGCTCCTCCCCGAAGCCCATGGAATCGCCCGCGAAGTCGGAGTCGTCGAGCCGCTGCGCTTCCTCTGGATCAGTGACGCCGCTCCTGGGTCTCGAAGCTACATCGCTCTCCGCGCGCGGGGCCGCCTCCTCCCAGTCCGACATGCCCATGTGCCGTTTCACTTCAGCCTCGCTGTCCGCGTGGCGGTCCTCGTCAGAGGATGTCCCATGAGCGCCCTCGTCGGCGTCCCCGCGCTCGGGCCGCTCGCCCACGCCTGACTCCCCGCTGTCCTCAAAATGCGCCCGCCTGGAGAGGAAGTACGAATCTTCCGAGCCACCGCCCTCCGAATGAGCACCGCGGGACGCGCTCTCCGCGTCGGTGCCCTCGTCGAGCGCTGCGCCAACGCAGAGCCCGGAGTCTGGCATCTCCTCGCGCGCGTGCCGCTCATCCCATACAGAATCCCCGCTGTCCTCAAAGAGCGCCCGCCTGCCATCGAAGTCGGAATCGTCGGGCCCAGTGTCTTCCGAGCGAACGCCGCGGCACGGGTGCCCCCGGTCGCCCTGGCCCCCCACGGGCAAGAAGTCCGATTGCCGAAGCCGCCCGAACATGAAGCGGCCCTTCTTGGATGAGAACCTGGAAACAGCCACGTAGCCGAACGGCGGCATGCTTCTTCTGATTGAACCAGATGGCGCCGGCAGGTATGCTGGCCCCCTGCGCCCGCCTGATCGTCGTCGCATACCCGTAACAGCACGGCAGGAACACTTTGCCGCCCCCGTACATTGGATGCACGAATATCAAATTCCCGGCCCCCCGCGAGCGCGCAACAAACACCTCGTTCCCGCACGAGCTCCCCTCGATGACCGCCGTGGCGCCGTTGGCAATGCCCCGGGTTTTATCACAATCCCGAGTAAGACGCATGACGATGCTGGACGGGTCCGGGGCGAATCCAGCGTCGATCTCCTGCTGCGAAACGCCAGCCAAGCGCAAGGCGGCCTCGGACACCTGTTCGGAAGCCTTGTTCGTCGCACACAGCCAAATCAAAGAGATCCCCATCTGCTCCTCGAACCTCACGGTGGCCTGAAGGGCGCCCTCCAAAGTGCCAGTGAAATGCCGCCCCTCGAAGAAAGACTGCGGCTCATCTCGCGTGGGTTGCGTCGTGCGCATGAGGTTCTGGAACTCCAGGAACTCCATGTCCCCCGTGCGGTAGACTATCTCAAGGTCAACTCGGTCCACCTTCATGCACACCTGCATGCATAAGGTCTCCTTGGCATCGTTAGTTACCTTCTCCCCGAGGCGAACAGGTCGAAGCTGCTGGAAGTCCGCGACGATCATGCAATTGGGCATGCGGGGCTGCTCCAACATCGCCTTGAAGAACTGGCCGAACTCCGCGTCCGCGCACTGGCAGCCCTCGCCCACTAGTACGAGGTCTATCTTGCGCAACGCGGACGGGGGGGGGCAGCGCGCCCTCCCGTCCTTCTTGGGCCGCCTGTAATTGAGTGCATAATGTCTACGCGGATGTTCTCCATGTAATCGGCCTCAGGGATCTGCGACTTGAAGCTGTGGACCAGCTGACCTGGCGGTGGCATAGAGCAATCTGGCGCGCAGCGGAAGCGTCGCCAAATGAAGCGAATGACCCGGCGCGGACAAGCGATGGGGGGAGGGGAACGAGGGGGCGAGCGGGGCGGGGCCCAACCCTGGGCCACTGGATATGGTCAAGGGTCGACAGGCAGGGACATTTCCCCCGCGACCCCCGACATCTGTCGGGCACGCGATGAGGACGCCGAGGCCCCGCGCTGCAGCAGACAGCGCCGCCTCCAGCAGGACGGCCGAGTTGCCGCTCCGCGGCGCGCCCGCCACGCACAGCCACCTAGACTCCTGGAACCCCCGCTCCTTCTCGGCCTGGTCGTCTATGCTCGTCTTGTCCGCGACCCTCTGCAGTGCCGCGCGCTGCTCCTCCGACCAAGCGTGCCCCCTGCGGGCGGGCCGATTGAGCCGCTCTCAATCGCCCTTCAGCATGTGAAACTCGGCGTCGCCCTGCGCCCGCAGAGCGCGCTGGTGCAATAGGTGGGCCGCGTCGGCTGCCATCTCGAACGTGCGCGGCCGTTCGTCGGGGAACCTTCCTGCAGGACAGATCCTGGCGACAGACGCCTCGCATGTAGCTGTGCGCAGCTCTCTCGGATGGGAAAACAGCCACCCCGCCATCGGGGAGGGCGCCGTCCGCGGGAGGCCGCCGCCCCGCCCCTTCGCCCAGGGGCACAGTGGTTCCATCGTCGAGCACATCCAGGGGGAGCGCTGTCTCGTGGAATTCAAAACCACGGGCCCCGATCACGAAGCCAGACTTCTCGCCGCCCCCGCCGCGCTGAAGCCGCAGGAAAGTCCAGCTCATGAGGTAGCGCAGAACACCGACAAAGTTCTCCATGCAGTCCAGATGTCTCACGCCATCGGGAAGTAGATCTGCAGGTGTAGCGTGCGGGAGCTGAGCGAGCGCCATCTGGCCCCAGTAACCGTTGGTCAGCTCGTGCCAGTGCCTGCGCGCGCACCCGAGGGTCGGCGCCTGGCCGCGCTGCATGTTCTTGCCCCTCCGCTGCGCCGCCTTCCGCTGCCGGCCATGCTCGCGCTTGCGGTGCCACTGCAAAAAAGACTGGCGGGCCGGATGGCCCTCGTCCTGGCCCCCCTTGGCCGCGCGGCGCAGTGGGCCTGGTACATGCGCCAACTGAAGTTCACGGCCTTCGGCGCAACGGAGTCCTGCCCGGGGCCAGCAGACCCCGACTGCGGCGCGCCTGCGGCTGCCAGCGCGTCGCGCGGCAGCGGGGGATACAGCAACGCGCGCGAATGCGACCTGTGAAACTCTGGGCGCGACGCCACGCGCAAGGCCACTTCGGGGATGCTCGGCGCGCTCTTGCTCGGGAGGCCGCGCGCTGCGAACCAAAGTGCCCGGGGGAACAAATGCCTGCGCCCTTGCCCCCCTCCGCCCCCCACCCCCCCCGGGGCGGGCACTCGCCGGAATGTCGAAGGGGGTCCAGCCGTGGCAACGGGCCCCCTGGAGGAGCAAAGGCATCGGCATCTGTCCCGTCGCGAACGCCGTGGAGCCCTTCTGCGCGCACCCCCCCAGCTCTACGTCCACGGAGTCGCGGCCTTTGGACACGTAGCCGTTGATGTAGTTCAGCCCCCCGCTCCCAGGTCTGGACATCCACCTCGCACAAGAAGAAGAGACCCACAAATTTCACGAACCCGACGGCTGCCGCCCGGGCGCCGCCCGTCGCGCCAACGCGACCGACCAGCGAAGCCAGACTTCCAGATGCCACGAGGACCCAGGCGCAGCTGTGCCAGCGCGGAGTCCCGCGGCCTTGGTATTCAGTACGAACGGCGTACTCCAGCACATGGAACCACCGGTGGCCGAACCGACTACTAAAACAAAACCACATGCTGAGCACGAGGAAGTACATGTGGAGGCCAATGAGGTGCGCGCCCTCGCTCAAGCAGGTCCGGTAAGGCCCCGTCCAATAGGGCAGCGGGAACCTCCACTCTGCCGGCGCGACGGTGATGAAGAGGTTGGGGAACGCAACCATCCACGACGCATCTCCGCGCGCGTCCCTGACGGCCTTGCACGAGTCCGGGTGGCCCTCGCGGTCGTGGCACTTGGCCATCTGCGCCCGCGCGAGGTCGGCAAGCGCGTCGCGCGCGATCCCCCAGTACCCGCCGGTCACCTGGGAATGGCGCATGAGAACGTCCGAAGTCACGCCGGGCTCCTGGCCCCTGCTGTGCGCGTGAAAGAACTTGCGGGCCAGCTGCGTCTCGTGCAAAAAGAAAGCCAGATCTGGGTTCTCGACGTGCGCGCGGACCTCGGACTGGCACCCCCGCGCGAAGGGCTCCCCAAGGCACACCGTCCTGTTCTTGTTGTCATCGCGCACGGTGCGGTAGTGCGCCAGGATACCAGCGTCTGTAAAATCCGTAGTCGGGCACAGCCAGGGCCGCGCGGCACATTCCATGCCGTCGAACACGACGAAAGGTCGAATGAACTGATACGCTGGCCGCGCTGGCCAGGACAGTCGCGTGAGTGGCGCTGATTGAGCAAGCGGGCTTTGTAGAGGTCGTTGTGCTTCGTCAGCCATCTGAACGCGGCCTTGGAGCGCGCCGCTGGCGCGCTGTCCTCCGTCACTTCATGGCCGGCCCAAAAAGCTTTCGCGACGCCCGTTTGCTTGTAGTTATTGTAGTGTTTCGGCCCCCCAGAGCCTTTCAGGAAGTGCTCCGCGACCTTTTTCACGCGTCGTAGAGCATACTTCTCCTCGTTCGCCATGTCCAAGAACGCGGGGCCCGCGGATGCGCCGCAGCTGAACTCGGAGCTGCCCGGCGCAAGCCTCGGCCACATCACGACCTCGCCCGCCCAAGAGGTGGCGGCGCTCACGCTGGGAGGAGGCGGGCGCGGGACCCTGTAGACGGGCCCCATCTTCGGCACGCCCTTCGGCGCAAGCCTTCGCCGAGGCCTTCGCGCGAGCGCGTGCCCGCAGTGCCCTGCTGGCCACGTCGCTGGCGCGGGCCACTGGTCGCGGATGGTCCGCGAGAGAGACGCGCCGCCCGCGCCACTTGTCAGGCATGTACATCGACGGGTCCATCCACCAGCGCGAGGTGACGCCGATCTCCTCGCCGCCTCGGCGCGCGGTGGGATCGGGCGGCGCTTCCGGCCTGAAGACGGAAGCGTCGTCCGAGGCAACGCAGCGGTGGAAGGGTCGCACTCCTGACAACCGCTGTCGCTGAAGTAGAAGCTGCCGCAGCCATCGCAATGGGTCCAGCTGCCGCACTTCACCCAGCTCTCGAAGTCCGTCTTCGGCCACGCAGCGCGCCGCTGCGCGGGCTGCGCCGCCAGCATCGAGCCCCCCCAAGTCTGCCGCCCGCGCGCGCTCTCGCACTCGCCCCGCGCGTAGGCAAGCGCGCAGCAGGCCGCCGCGCACTCGAGAGGAAAGCATAAAGTCGCGTCGTTCTCGGCGACCTGCCTGCAATAGTCCAGCAACAAGAGCGGGGCGCGTTCGCGGCGAAAGCGACCCCCCGAGGCCCCCGCGAACACCTCGAGCGCCAAACCGGGGAACGCGTCCGGCAGGACTCGGCAAAACGGTTCAACCGTGCTCCTCTGGATGAAATCGCGGTAGACTCGGGCGCCCGCGCGCTGGAACCGCAGCTGCGCCATCGGCTCATGTTTGGCGTAGAATTTGAGCAACTCCGAGAGCGGCGCGAGATCTGGAGACACGGCCGGGTGCTCGCGTAACTTCTCCTGGACAGCCTTCAGATCAGCCTCGCGCCTCTCGCACCTGCCTCTGCGACATCCGAGCATCGACGCTGCCGCAGTCTGCGAATATAGCCACATCCAATGGTGTCGCTCGAGCCATCGGCAAGTCCAAGTCTGGCCCGTCTGCTCCCAGCGCCTGTATTGGCGGAGGCGGGGCGCAGCCGCGACCACCGAGAACTCGTCCTTCAACGCCTCAGCGACTGCCTCCAGGGGAACGCCCTCCTGCAGCTGGTCCAATGCGCGACGGGCGCACGGGTGCCCGTCAATGTCCTCCACGCTCTGCAGGTGACGGAGCGCCTGGGCAGGGTGGTCGAGCCATGCCTTCAAGTGAGACGCACGGCACACCACGCGGTGCTCTTTCTGAAGGACTTGGCACTTGGCAAATGTCCTGCGCGGTCTTGCCCTCTACGTGGTACAAACACAGCAGTTTCGACCGGTTCGCCCGCCAGAAAGCAACGCCGGCCGCCCGCAGCGCATCGCCCTCGCCGCGCATGGCCAGCCAACGCATGTAGATGGACTCGCTCACATCGCACCCGAGCCGCCTGCAGACGGCGACGCCCTCGGATTTGGAGTAGCCGAAACCGTACTTCATGTGGTGCAGACGAAGGGTGCCGAGAGGAGAGCGCGTGCGCGGCCTCTCGTGTCTCATCCGCTGCATCGGCTTTTCGGGGGCCTGCAGCTGCCGAGCTCGCTCGATGACCCGGGGGTCCAAGCTGTCCAACCACGAGCGACACGTCCGCAGCGACGCTGCGATGGGCTTCGCGCGCAGCGATCAATGCCGGGACAGAGCCCGAGGACCATCCAGCGCGTAAAGAACGCGGTCCAAGCCGAGAGCGCAGTCCAAGTGGGTGCCGTTACCAACCCGAATCTCGCCACTCCCCAGGCGATACTGCATATACCACTCGCGCAAAATTCCAGGCGACACCAGAACTGGATTTTCCCAAGGTCGCATCCCATCGAGCAGCCCCGTAATCGACAGCGGGGTTGCGAAGTCATCCGCGTGTTCTGGCAAGCGTAGGATGTCGCCCGCCTTTTCCTCCAACTGCTCGGCCGTGTCCGCCCAAACAACAGGCCGCCAGTCACGAGACAACCAAGCCTGGCAGTGGCGCCTAGGGCACAATATGCCTTGCGTCTGCAGCCAAGCATGCAGCGCCTCGGGGTCATGTCTGCCCGTGCCCCCAGCCAAGTACTCTCGGACGCGGTCCCCGGCTCTCTCCTCCAGCCCAGCGGCAGAGGTGATGCTGGAAAGCACGCCACCTCCGTGATGCTGGAGCCACTCCCTCATCGACGCATCAGACACCTTCAAAGGGGAACCCTCCTTCAGGAGCGCACTGCGCAGCTTGAACGCCGTGCGGAAACCTGACGCCTGCAACTCGCGGAACCGATCTCCGGCAAGCGCCTCCAGCACCGCATAGCCGGAAACTTCCACGGCCCCTTCGCCAACGCGGTACTTCTGAAACCACTGTTTGAAGACGCCTTCAGTTACAGAGACGCCCGGGTACGTGTGCTGCCACTGACGCCAGAGCTGTCGAGGAGTAGTCGCCTCGCTGAACGACGGCGCGCCCAGCACACTGCGGTACTGCGCCTCCAGCTGCGCGGCCGTCAACTCAGACGACTGCGACGGGGGCATGTCGCCTGTATCAGAGCAGCTGTGCCAAAATGGCTGTGTACGGAATGGTGAAGAGCGCTGAAAGGACGGCGTGACCCGAACTGCTTCTAAGGCGCGTAGGGGCGATTCTTTGAATGTGGCATAGTCCTTCAGGTCCCGCGGGCCTCGCGTGGAGCTGCGCATGAGGCTGCTAAGGCCCGCAGAGCCATTGTGCGTGACCAGGCCCGGCTAACGCATCTAAAACGCATAGGCCTACAAGTGCTTCACTCATTCGGGCCTGGGGAGAGCCGCGACCCGTCCACAGCCCATGGGGCCAGTAAGATTTGCAGAGACAGAGGCTACAGTGCTTCCCCACAAGAAAAAACACGTGGCCCGTCGGGCCATATAGCCCCAAACTGTGTTAGGAAAGCATACTTTTGAGGGCCTCCGGAGACTCGTTTTATCAGGCGTCTCGTAGGGCACACCAAGAGCCTTGTAGGAGAGCTGTAAATGGGGCCACGACGTAGGCACCGCGGCGGGGTGGGCCGAAGGCCACAAGGTATTGATTGTGAATCGCAACGTTAGCACTTGCGCCACTTGGTCTCATCACTCCCTGCCAAAGAACTGGGCCGCAACGGACTCGTGGACATCGCGAGAAGCTCTTGGGAGTCCCCACAGAGACTGGACTGTACGTGGTCCGGACGTGCACCCCGCGAAGCGAGAGGAATATCCTCCTCGCTCAAACGGGGCCTCTCCGCAGGGCTGGGGGAGGACACGAACCCTGGTCAATAGTACTGCTTGTGGGCCATATCCTCGCTCATGTGGGGCCTCCCTGGAACGTGGGAGGGCCACGAAACCTTGTAAATATGATGACTTTGGGATACCATCCTCGCTCAGGCGGGAGCCGTGGTCGTCGCAGCTGGGCCTTCACGAACTTGGCTGACTTGCGAGGAAATCTCGAACGCCTGCGCCGCGCGTGAGTTCGGGGGCCTCTCTGGCCAGGGCCTCTGGACGAAACCTGTGAAATATCGGGCGGGGGCCCTTGTCGTCGTAGTTGGGCCTCCACCCGCTTGGTTGAATTGCGAGGGAGTCTCGAGCGACAGCGCCTGCCTTAATTTGGGAGCATCCCCGGCCTGGGCGTCTCGGAATAAATGACGAGGAAGTATCGGGCGCGAGCCGTTGTCGTCGCAGCTGGGTGAATGAGTCGTGATGAAGTCTCGAGCGAGAGCGCCGTTCCTGATTTCGGGGACCTCTCTGGCCAAAGCGCTCTAAGGGTAAATTGCTAGGAAATATCGAGCGGGAGCCCTTGTCGTCGTAATTGGGACTCCACTAAGACGATTGGAGCGCGAGGAAATCTCAAGCGAAATCGCCCTTCCTGCGATTCGCGGCTTCTCCCGCCTTGGCGTATCGCAATAAATTACTAGGAAGTATCGAGCGAGAGCTGGTGTCGTCGTAGCTGGACCTTCACCAGCTTGCCTAAATTGCAAGGAAGTATCCAACGATAGCGCCCTTCTTGAGTTTTGGGGCCTTCCTGGCCAGGGCGTCCCGGAGTAAACTGTGAGGAAATATCGAGCGGGAACCGTTGCTGTTGTAACCCAGCCTTCAAAAACACACTTTGGAAACGAAGCTCGCGCTCGAGCGGGAGCCTCGGTTTCGGAGAACATGACGCCGGCGTCGAGGCGAGATCGCCCAGAACCGACAAGGATCATCAACAAAAATGATTCTCTGAAAAAGAGTATTCAACAACAGCAACAACAGCAACAACAACAACACTAACAACGACAGCAACAACAACAACAACAACAACAACAGCAGCAGCAACAACAACAACAATCATTTTAAGACTGATCGCCCTTATCTGCTCGAGTGTCCAATAACGCGTATTTCCCAAACCCTCGATACCCGCCCTCTTCGTCATCGATCGAACCCCTTTTGGGGGGCATACCTTTCTTCCCTGCAGGCCGGGCCCCGGCAAACGGCAGGGCGGCCGCGGACCGTCGGCCTGGCCAGCGGCAGCGCTGATCGGCGGGACGGCCGCGGACCGTCGACACGACCCCAAGAGGGACGGACATGGGACCGACCACGACGACGACGACGACGTCGACGACGACGGCGACGGCGACGACGAGCGAAAGCGAGAGCGAGAGAGAACGACAGCAGGGCCACAAGGACACGAAGTAGGCCACGAAGGGCGACAGCGGGGACACGAAGGGAATGCGTAATTATGGGGCCACGAATAGCGCGAACGAGCGGGGGCCCCGAAGGGCAGATAATGCGGGGCCGCAGAAGGCAACGATGGGGCCACTGAGGGTAGCAACTGGGCCACGTAGGACAGTGAGGGGGACACAAACGGCAACAGCGGGGCCACGAAGGGCATGCACATGGCGCCACAACGGGCGCGAACGAGCGGGGCCACGAAGGGCATACGTATACTGGGCCGCGGAGGGCAAGGACGGGGCCACTGAGAGGGCAGCAGCGGGGCCACGAAGGGCAGCGAGGGGGCCACGAAAGGCGACAGCAGGGCCAAGAAGGGCATGCATATGGGGCCACAGCGGGCGCGAACGAGCGGGGGCCACGAAGGGCATACATATATGGGGCTACGAAGGGCAGCGAGGGGGCCACGAAGGGGGGGCCACGAAGGGCTGCAACGGGGCCACGAGACAAAGCGAGGGGGCCACGAAGGGCTGCAACGGGGCCACGAAGGACAGTGAGATCCCGTTTCCTCGGTAATCTGTGAGGGAGTCCCAGGCGTGAGCGCAACTCCTGGGTGCCTGGGTGTCGGGAGCGCGGCGCTTGAGTAAATTGCAAGAAATTCCAACGCAAGGGCGCTATTCTTTAGAAAATTGCAAGCAAGTCTCCAGCGAGAGCGCGACTCTAGAGCGCCGGGAAAGCGACGCCTGCATAAGTTAGAAGGAAGTCCTAAGCGAGAGCGCGATTCCTGAATCAAATGCGAAGAAGTCTCGGGCGAGAGCGGGGGTCCTGGCTAAATTGCGAGGAAGTCTCAAGCGGGAGCCGTTGTTGTTGTAACCCGGGGGCCAGGGGCCCAGTTTGAGAAGACTTTCCCTGATAAAATACAAGGTGCGAGCGTCGAGGGGCACACTTTGATTGAGAAAAAAAACAGCATGCACAGGTGTGGGGATCAACAATAAGTATTCTTCAGAAGTGATAATTCAAAGACAACAACAACAACAACAACAACAACAACAACAACAACAACAACAATAATTTTAAGACTGTTCGCCCTGATATGCTCGAGTGTCCAATAACGCGTATTTCCCAAACCCTCGATACCCGCCCTCTTCGTCTTCGATCGAACCCCTTTTGGGGGTATACCTTTCTTCCCTGCAGGCCGGGCCCCGGCAAGCGGCGGGGCGGCCGCGGACCGTCGGCCTGGTCAGCGGCAGCGCTGATCGGCGGGGCGGCCGCGGACCGACCCGACCCCGAGAGGGACGGACAGGGGGACGACGACGACGACGACGACGACGACGACGACGACGACGACGACGACGACGACGTCGAAGACGACGGCGACGACGACGACGACGACGGCGACGACGAGCGAAAGCGAGAGTGAGAGAGAACGACAGCAGGGCCACGAAGGGCACGAAGTAGGCCACGAAGGGCGACAGCGGGGACACGAAAAGAATGCGTGGGGCCACGAAGAGCGCGAACGAACGGGGGCCAAGTGCAGATAATGCGGGGCCACAGAAAGCAACTATGGGGCCACTGAAGGTAGCAACTGGGCCACGTAGGACAGTGAGGGGGACACAAATGGCGACAGCGGGGCCACGAATGGCATGCACATGGGGCCACAACGGGCGCGACTCCTGGGTGCCTGGGTGTCGGGCGCGCGGCGCTTGGGCAAATCGCCAGAAATGCCCACGCAAATCCATTCTTCAGTAAGTTGCAAGCAAGTCTCCAGCGAGAGCGCGACTCCAGAGCGCCGGGAGAGCGATCCCTGAATAAATTGTAAGGAAGTCCCAAGCGAGAGCACGTTTCCTGAATAAAATGAGAGAAAGTCTCGGGCGGGAGCGGGCGTCCTGGCTAAATTGTAAGGAAGTCTCAAACGGAAGCCGTTGTTGTTGTAACCCGGGGGCCAGGGGGCCAGTTTGAGCAGGAAGATTTTCCCTGCCAAAAAACAGGGTGCGAGCGTCGAGGGGCACACTTTGATTGAGAAAAACAATATGCACCGGTGGGGGGGATCAACAATAATTATTCTTCAGCAGTGAGAATTCAACAACAACAACAACAAGAACAACAACAACAACAACAACAACAACAACAACAACAATCATTTTACCCGAACGCTCAGTGTTCTCACCAGTGCCAGGGTTTTCATGCGACGCGAGACAATACCCCCACTTCGTGGGGGGGCAGTTCAAGCTCTACCAAATATCCAAACGACTCTTCGCGACCACCCAAACCCAGCTTCCCGCCCTATGACGTTGGGACACTTCACTTCGTGGCGTGCGGACGACCGTGGCTACTACACTGGCGTGGGGTACACACCCACAGAACTTGGTCACTTATTCGGGGCGCGCGTGTGCCCAGCATCCTGCAATTGTGACATACAATACATGACACAGACAGACAGAGAGAGAGACAGAGAGCAGACAGAGAGAGAGACAGAGAGAGCGGAGTTGGTCACATTTTTGGGGCAAGTTCCTGAGATCGTCGTGTTTTTTGTTGGTCTTGCGCGCGCGAATGTCCACTTTACTTTTTTTTGCAAGGGAGTATTGAAATTTGATTATGTTAGAACAAGAAAAAGTAGCTCGCGCGAGCTCATGTAACATAAATGTTGAAAAACCATTGGTTTTGTGGGAGTCGGACAGCGCGCGCGGGATGAAATTTGGACATTTTTTTTTGAAAAACCATTGGGTTTTTGATGTTTTTATGTTGAAATCGTTACGAAACCTAAGGTTCTGGAAGGATTTCGTCTTGCGCGCGCGAATGTCCACTTTACCTTATTTTTTGCAAGGGATTATTGAAATTTGATTATGTTAGAACAAGAAAAAGTAGCTCGCGCGAGCTCATGTAACATAAATGTTGAAAAACCATTGGTTTTGTGGGATTCGGACAGCGCGCGCGGAAGGACATTTTGACAATTTTTTCTTAAAAAACCATTGGGTTTTTGATGTTTTTATGTTAAAATCGTTACGAAACCTAAGGTTTTGGAAGGATTTCGTCTTGCGCGCACGAATGTCCACTTTACCTTATTTTTTGCAAGGGATTCTTGCAATTTGATCAAGTAAAAACAAGAATTTTCATTTTCTATTGTTTTTTGCAAAGGAAAACGAGCGTCAACAAAAAACCGGATCCGGAGCTCATCCACTTTTCTGAAGCTTTCGCGAAAAAATGATGAAAATGTAGCTGCGGCCTAGGCGCGGCGCAGAGGTCGCGCACCAGGGGTCCCAACAATAATAATTCTTTAGAAGGAATAATGTTCAACACGTACAACAGCAACACTAGTAATAACAACGCTACCAACAACAACAACAACAACAACACCCACAACAACAGCAACAGCAGCACCAACAACGACAACAATCTCAACAACACCACCATCACCAACAACAACACAACAACAATACCAACAGCAATAACAACAACAACCATATTAATAACAACAACATCAAAAACAACAACTACCACTTCTTCCCCTACTACTACTTCTACTACTACTACTACTACTACTACTACTACTACTACTACTACTACTACTACTACTACGACTACGACTACTGCTACTACTACTACTACTACTACTACTACTACTACTACTACTACTACACGACTACGACTACTGCTACTGCTACAACTACCACTTACTACTACTACTACTACTACTACTAGTACTATTACGACTACTGCTACTGCTACTGCTACTGCTACTACTACTACTACTACTACTACTACTACTACTACTACTACTACTACTACTACTACTACTACTACTACTACTACTACTACTACTACTACTACTACTACTACTACTACTACTACTACTACTACTACTACTACTACTACTACTACTACTACTACTACTACTACTACTACTACTACTACTACTACTACTACTACTACTACTACTACTACTACTACTACTACTACTACTACTACTACTACTACTACTACTACGACTACTACTACTACTACTACAACGCAACACGCGCAATTCTCACCGCGAATCTCCGTTTTAGCCACGCACACAGGGATAATGAATGACCGTTCGGCCCCCTCACTCTGATCAGACAACGCTCAAGGCGGCTGCGGCTCACTCTCTACGGCCGACCCGTCTTAGCGACTGAGCTACAGCCCGCTCTGCGCCGTCTTCGCAGGCGTGGTCGTCGCTCCATGGTGAGCGTAGCTGGAGCTGCTCTGCTCAGACAATGCAGCCTTCTCCGAAAGGAGCCTCGATGGCGAGCTCGAAGACCCAGAAGAAGATGTCGCCGTCGTCGGAAGTGATGTAATATGTTGTATGTTGTTGTGCCCAGATGGTGTTCCATAACTCCGCAGGTACGTCATAAGTGGCTCCAGCTCCGCGATCCTCAGACTGCGAGCTGCCTTGGCGAGCTTCGTCTGGTATCGTGGCATTTGAGGCCTCTCGAAAGGCTTGGTGTAGCTCGTTAGGTAGAGTTTGTCGGCGCTTGTCCAATGCAGCCTGCTTCCTGCGCGAGATCCTGCTGTTGGGGTCTGGACGAGGACGACGACGACGACGACGACGACGACGACGACGACGACGACGACGGCCGCCTCTGAAGGTCTCTAGCGGTATCCGGGGGCCTCAGGTGGTCTCTGGAGGCCTCTGGACGCCGCTGGACGACCTCCGAGGCTCTCTGGGACGACGACGACGACGATGACGACGACGACGACCACGACGACGACGACGACAACGACAACAACGACGACGACGACGACGGCGGCGGCGACGACGACGACGACGGCCGCTTCAGAAGGTCTCCAGAGGTCTCCAGAGGTCTCCGGAGGCCTCAGGAGGTGTCTGGAGGCCCTCTGGACCTTGTCAGCACCACACCGTGCCTGTGAGCAGGACGCCATACGTGTGTGGGGCTGCCGCCCCCCCCCCCGTTCCGCTCGTTACCTTTACGGGCGGGGGGGGGGGCGCCCCTGCAACGGACGTGAAGGGTTCAACGAGTAAACAGGCAATGTCATCAGGGTCAAAGCGCTCAGGCCATCGGCTTAGCCGCCGCAGCAATCTGCCCCTCGCTTGCCCCCCCCCCACCCGCTCACGCGGTGCTGCTCTCCGCGCCGAGCCCGCCCCGCCCACCGTGCGCGGGTCTTCCCAGCCGCCTTTTTATCGGGCCTCGCCCTCCACCCCCTCTCGCACGGCCCAGACGGGGGCGCCGGCGTGTGGGACAACTGTGAGGACTGCGTGGGCAAGTTCGCACTTCTATTCAACACTCTGTCTCGCAGAACAGCAGCGTTCTCCGGAGCCGCGCACTCCTTTACAACGCCATGTTGTTGAGCCCACTCGTGGGAAGGGACGCCTTTTGCGCAGCCTTGACGTGGGGGCTGCCTGCCTCGCAAACGTACTGTCGCAATCGCCCCTACAACCCTGAAAGCGCACGGTCTTCCGCATACCCTTCCCAAGCAAGGCGCATCAGGAGTAGCGTGACTGATGATCACCAACGCATGCAAAAACAAAGAACTTGCTCTTGCGAGACCTCACCGCAGCGTTTCACCAGCCTGAGTGCATGAATCAGCTGGGCAGGAAGGGAGAGAGCGCTGACCAGTCGTGATACGATTCGCTACTGGCTGCGGCCTGTGCAGACCTCCCAGCGAGTGCGCGATGGGACAGCAGTGTTTTCGTCGCGCTTCTGGCTTGAGCTGCCAATCAGGAATCCCGACAGCCCTCTGGGCGTAGGTGGTTTAGGGTGTTTCCTCTTCCACCCCTCCCTCTTCCCCTTCGGGGAGGGGTTTACCCCTCCCCCTGCCTCCTCCCTTGGACCTGGACGGGGTCGGTCGCGGGTAGTTCGAGCGCCCAAAACGGCCTCGGCGAGGAAGCCAAAATCATTTTTACCACGGTTTTGGCCCCATTTGGGCCTCTTGGGGGGGCAGCGCTAAAAGGAGCTCCCCTCTTCTCAGATCGATCTCCTCCAAAATGGCCCCAAGAAGCGCCCAGGAGGCCCCGAGAGTTCCCAAAATGGCCCCAAGATGGCCCCAAAAAGCCCCCAAAAGGCCCCCTGGAGGCCCCCAAGAGGACCCCTGAGGGGGGGGCAGGGGGCGCGCGAGGGCGGCGCGGCGGGGGGGGAGGCAAGGGCGGTGCGACGACGCCAAATGAAAGAATCGCGGCGGAGGGGGCGGCGCACTGAGCTGCCGGGGAGGGGGTGGGGCGGGGATGGGAGGGGCAAGGGCGGTGCAACGGAGGGGGGGGGGCGGTGCGACGACGCCGAAATGCAACTGTCGCGGCGGAGGGGGCGGCGCGCTGGGCCACTGGGAGGGCGGGCGCGGGGGGGGGACATTACGATGGGGCGGGGCGGTGCGACGGGGCCGAAATAAAAGTTGTCGCGGCGGAGGGGGCTGCGCGCTGGGCTGCCAGGGCGGGGGGGGGGCGGGGCGGTCAACGCTGCCGGGCAACGCTGGGGTGGGGGCGGTGCGACGACGCCGAAATCAAGTGGTCGGAGCTCTAGACACCCTGCGCAAAAGCATAAAATCACACTCGCGCTCCCGATGCCGCGATCCTGATGATTTGCGGCAAACTCGCGCCCCGGAAACCACAATCCCCGTAAATTACACTCGAGGCGACGTTCCTTTGCATGCCGCGCCCGGGTCGCGCCCCCGAGGCCGCGATCCCTTGTACATGAGGAAGCGGCCTCCAGCCGCCCTCGCATCATATTGCGATACAGTTTCAAGTAGGCGCCCAGGCATCCCAACGTAGCTCAGGCACGTGCCACTCTGATAGACTGGGGCCGGCGGCAGAGTAGGGCGACGCCCTTGCGAATATACTGATAGGACCACCCTACAAGTGATAAGGAGGTTTGGGGGGGAAGGGGGGGCGGTCGATGCGCGGTGACCCCCACCTGCCGCCGCCAAAGAGTGCGCGGGTAAAGGAATGTCGCCTGCTTCCGTTTGTTTCTAACTAACTAACTAACTAATATATTTATATATATATATATATTGCCATGCATCTATCCATCCATCAATGTATATATATTTATATATATCTGTCGAACGAGTCGACACATCAATCAGTCTACCAGTCTATCCACCAGCCAATCAATCCATCTACCTACCGAATCGATCCTTCAACCAGTCCATCCATCTACCGACCTATCGGGGCAACCATCGGGGCAACCTTCCGCTCATATCTCCCAACCTTCGATCTCTCTCTGTATATAGGTATGTTTACCTATATGCTTACAGATGCACCTCTCCACCAACATGTATATATACGTATGTAAATATATGTTTATCGATACCTCGCTGTATGTATAAATATATATACGTATGGCTATAAATGTCTCTCGATGTATATATATGGTGGTGTCGGTGATGATGGTGAGTGGTCGTTGCGGTGATGGCATGGCGGTGATGGTGCTGGTGATAACGGGATGGCGTGGTGGCGGTGGCCATGTGGCATGATTGTTTTTGGTCCATGCTGGTGCACCCTGGCGCGATGCCAGCGTCACTTGGTGGCGCGCCCACTTCTATGCCGAACGGAGCGGCCGGGTGCCAGAGGCGGCCTTCGCCGCGGGCGCTCTAGCGGGCCTGCCGCCTGGCCGCGCCAGGCCTCGTAGCAAGCGCCCGATGTGCGCAGGCATATGGCGATCTGCGCGCCCCATTTCGGACACCTCCACGTCAACGACCCCAGACATCACCAGTCGCAACACAACTTGCAGATGCAATTACTTGACGGCGGCAGCGCCGAGCGCTGGGCTGGCGATGCAAAGGCGCTGGCCATCGGCGGCGGCGTGCCCCGACTGGATTCACCGAAACAGCCACGCCGGTAGTATGGCGGTGGTGCCAGTAGTGACGATGGCAACAATAATGGCACCGATAGCGATCGCGCTGGCGAGGCGGTAGCGACGCTGACAATGACGCCAGACCCTGCCAGCGACAGGTAGTGGTGATGCCAGCGGTGTTGCTTATGGCGAGGCGGTTGCAGTGGCGGTGGCGGTGGCGGGCGGGATCTTCTATCTCTAGCTCGTTGTGTATACGATATATCTATCAATCAATTGAAATATCTATGTAACTACCTATCCCTCAGTCGATCTTTCAAAATATCTATCTATTGGCCGATTTACCTCTTTGTCGGGTCAACCGTCGGGGCAACCATCAGAACAACCGTCGAGGCAACCGTCGGGGCAACCATCGGGGCAGCTATTCGGACAACTATCGGGACAACCATCGGGAAAACCCTCAAGACACCCATCGGGGCAACCACCAAGACAACCATCGGGACAACCACGGGGCAACCATCGGGACAACCATCGGAACAGCAACCGGGGCAACCATCGGGACAACCGTCGGGGCAACCATCGGGGCAACCATCGAAGAAACCATCGGGACAACCATCTGGACAACCATCGGAACACCCATCGGGACAATCACCGAAACGACACGGGACAACCATCGGGACAACCATCGGGACAACCATTGGGAAAACCATCGGGACAACCATCGGGACAACCATCGGGGCAACCATCGGGGAAACCATCGGGACAACCGTCGGGACAACCATCGGGACAATCATCGGGGCAACCATCGGGACAACCATCGGGACAACCATCGGGGCACACATCAAGACACCATCGGGGCAACCATCGGGACAACCATCGGGGCAACCATCGGGGCAACCATCGGGGCAACCATCGGGGCAAGCATCGGGACAACCATCGGGACAACCGTCGGGGCAACCATCGGGGCAACCATCGAAGAAACCATCGGGACAACCATCTGGACAACCATCGGAGCACCCATCGGGACAATCACCGAAACGACACGGGACAACCATCGGGACAACCATCGGGGCAACCATTGGGAAAACCATCGGGACAACCGTCGGGACAACCATCGGGACCGCCATCGGGAGAACCATTATCCATCGGGGCGACCAGCGGGACAACCATCGGGACAACCATCGGAACAAACATCGGGACAACCACCGGGACAACCGCGGGACAACCGCCGGGTCAACCCTCGGGACAACCATCGGAACAACCATCGGGACAACCATCGGGGCACACATCAAGACACCATCGGGGCAACCATCGGGACAACCATCGGGGCAACCATCGGGACAACCATCGGGGCAACCATCGGGGCAAGCATCGGGACAACCATCGGGACAACCATCGGGACAACCATCGGGACAACCATCGGGACAACCATCGGAACAACCATCGGGACAACCATCGGGACAACCATCGGGACAATCGTCGGGGCAATCATCGGGGCAACCACCAGGACAACCATCGAGACAACCATCGGGACAACCATCGGGACAACCATCGGGTAACCATCGGGACAACCATCGGGACAGCCATAGGGGCAACCATCGGGGCAACCATCGAGACAACCGCGATCCCTCGGGACAACCATCGGGACAACCATCGGGGCAACCATCGGGGCAACCATCGGGACAAGAACCGGGACAACAACCAGGACATCCGCGGGACAACCGTCGAGAAGACCATCGGGGCAACCATCGGGGCAACCATTAAGACAACCATCGGGACAACAATCGGGACAACCATCGGGGCAACTATCCGCACAAGCATAGGGGCAACCATCGGAACAACCATCGGGACAACCATCGGGACAACCACGGAAGAACGATCGCGGCAACCATCGGGACAACCGTCGGGACAACTATTGGGACAACTATCGGGGCAACCATCTAGACAACCATCGGGACAACCATCGGGGCAACCATCGGGACAACCATCGGGGCAACCATCGGGACAACCATCGGGGCAACCATCGGAACAACCATCGGGGCAACCATCGGGGCAACCATCGGAACAACCATCGGGACAAACATCGGGGCAACCATCGGGGCAACCATCGGGACAACCATCGGGACAACTATCCGGACAACCATCGGGGCAATTATCAGGACAACAATCGGGACAACCCACGGGACAACCATCGGGGCAGCTATCGGGAAACTTTCTGGACAACAATCGGGGCAAACATCGGGGCAACCATCGGGGCAACCATCGGGACAACCATCGAGCAAACCATCGGGTGACTATCGGGACAACCATCGGGGCAACCCTCGGGGCAACCGTCGGGGCGACCATCGGGACATTCATCGGGACAACCACTCTTGATCCTGACAACCATCGGGGCAACCATGGG